TGCACCAGAGAACATAGTGACTGATTTTGTGTAAATTATCAAATTATCCTTATTATACGCCGCAATTTTCCTGGTACCTTTCATGTAGCCAATGAGAGGGGGGGGGGCGTTCCGCACAATACTTTCTATATATTTGAAGAAAAGAGAGGAATTCATCGATACCTAAAAAAAAAACTCCAAAAAAAAAAAAAAAAAAAAAAAAAAATTGGCGGAACTCTGAAAAAATATATACATATATTTAAACGTATCATGAATTTTACAAAGTTGCCACAAGTATCAACTTTTAAAATTATTAACTAATTGAACTTATCGCATTCATTTCTGTTAATTTCAGTAAAGATGGCGTATATACTCACTGATAAAGATTTTCAATGCATCTCACACGTATTAACGCATTAATAATTTTAAATTTAAATTTACATGTATCACAACGAAAATACGTTTTGTGTAGACCTACAAATTCCTTTAGTCAAGGATGATGCAATAGCTTCATCATAGAAAATGTACCAATAAACTGAGAGGGGTGACTGAAGTATGTTGTTCAAGGTTTGTTATCATGCAAATTTGTGCAATATATCGATCTTCTATTTTTGTCTCGTAAGTTTTGAATGACACAAATAATCATGTAAAATAATCTTATACTGAAATGTTTCGAAGGAAAACCATATGTGAATATGCAACTGTAAATTTAAATGTATACTCACACAAACACACACACAACACACACACACACACACACACACACACACACACACACACACACACACACACACACACACACACACACACACACACACAATATATATATATATATATATATATATATATATATATATATATATATATGCATTCATATATATATGACATAAGTATAATTCACAAACTATCCGTTCCCGTATATATCTTTGCACATGTGTATCTCAGTGTGTTTCAGTGTATCTTTCTCGGCAAAGGATACTCACAACAACACTCCCGACCGCGACCGCCCGTGTCTTCCTCCCGACGGCGAGTTTATGTCAGTCACCGCCTCGCCGCTGGCCCTTATGAGCGACCTCTGCCGGTTGCACCACGTTGCAGCCACGCGTTTGGTGCAACAATGGCAATCCGTGTTTCAACAAGTGGAAACCTCTTCTACTTTTTTTAATATTTGGGAAATACACACACGCATGGGCGTCAGTGTGTATATTTGCATGCACACATACGTACGTAGATTCTTATCGATTCTTTCCGTGTCTGTAAGGTCGATTTCCGGTTATCACTTGAATCCTCATGTATCCTTCTCGCACTTCCTTTCCCCTGATAAAACACTCCCTTTGTTCTAGGAATTTCTCCACGTGCGTTAGAGTGTTTTTGTTTGTTATTCAAATCACATTTCTTTCCTATAATAAATTGTGTCTTTCCTACCTTCTTATAAAGTTATATACAGTTAATTATACCAATTATATTTGGCTCTTTATCTCTTTCTCTCTTTTTTGCATGATGCTAGGCTCATATAGTCCGGTGGGAGCAGGGAAACTAACTTTATAAATTATTTATTGAACGAACTAATAGCAACACGTCGAGAGTAAACGGAACCAGAGGCTGTGTCTTTAGGGGGGGGGAGAAAGAGAGAGAGAGATAGAGGGAGAGAAAGAGAGATAGATGGAGAGAGAGAGAGAGAGAGGGAAAGGGAGGTAGAAAGAGAAAGATATATATATATATATATATATATATATATATATATATATTGTATCGTGAATTTCATTCAAGATATTTCTATGTTGTATGTTCATATTATTCTGCATACTGTATATTATCATTCTGTATTGATTTCCTCTATATTTAGATGTCATATTATGTATCCATAATGTTATATATATATGATTAAATTTGATTATTTTATTTTATGCTTTACTCTTTGTAGGATGTGTTTTGGTAATTTTTATACGCTGCGCTTGTCATTCGGCATTTTTTTTTTTTTTTTTTTTGTTTACACATTTTCGGAGAAGACGCTTGCCCGCGCCACATGACTGAGGAGTAACAAGGAATGGATTTGTGTTGGTCTGATTTCCTTTTGAAGCTATGGACACTACTTGATACTGATCATAAATGCATCTTTCTGTTATTGTGCTGCTTTCTATTGACTGAACATGTTTGCCCTGCGTGTCAAGATATGGTTTGGTGAATTCTAGCCGAAGAGATGGGAGGTCTCATTGTTGTAAGGAAATAATGTGAGCTGTTTCTTTTATTCATTATTTTTGTTTTAAGATTATTCTAAATTTTGATTACTGTGATATGTTGATTGTGTAAATTTGGTTCACATTTATAGATGAATGCATATTGTATTGTGGATATTATTCTAGTGGAGGAAATGTTTGTTTTGTTTCTTGAGCAAAAGGAATATTCAAATAGTCAAATGGAAATACTTTGATTTGAAGTATCTGTTTATTACATTTGAACCATTGAGTTAACTGCTTTTTGGGATTAATTTACTGTATTAGTGTTTTGAATTACTTTGATATTTTTATTTGTATTTGCAGGTTGGATCTTAAATAAAGTACTGTGCATGCAATACACGAGTCTCCATTGTACCATCTCCTAGTAGAAATCACAAAACACACATATATATATATCAAAGTAAGCAATAGGTAAGATTATGCGACTTGGGCGCCTTGTACAGTTTGTAGAGGTGATATGAAGCTGGTACAGAGAGCACTGACAGTCAATTTCGTGTTTGTGGTTTAATATAAGGGAGTACCTGTGTATGGATGATGGGAGATTATTAAGAGAAGAGTCCCCACGCCATTTCTTGGGGAGAGATGAGGCTACCCCTTCTGGATGTGGGTGGGGTGTTATACTATATGTATTGCCTTAAGTTTATCGATTTCTTTCCATATAGTACCCACGGGTGTCATGGAGTCATAAAATCTTCCGTTTTCGAGTTATCTCATCATTTGGAATGTTATGTGACTGTGGACCTGTAAATTAATTGTCAATTGTCATGTGTCCCGTGTTATATGCCTTGCATACGCGGTATGTGTGCCTTGCAAGTGTGGACATGTTAACCAGCCCTATAGTTTTGATTTACTCCAAAGGATATTTATACAATGTAGTTCTGTGAAAATATTTTAAATAAAATTGTTCGTTTAAATCATAAATAATGCTTGTGAATAACCACAATGAATATCTATAATCATTATTTTTACACATAACAACGAAATGAGTTTAATGTATTCTCAGTGGTCGTGACTGCCTCTCTGAGCACTATGTTGACATTTACATGTCATCTTACTTTCGGAATTAATTTTGACATGCGTCAAAATTATCCAACTCGCCTACAGTTCCTCATCAGACGCAGTGTAAACCGAAATGGCTCTTTTACTGTACATTTCTTCTTCCACTACGTCTTGACGAGTTGTTCGCAATGAAACGTGGGAGGAGGATCACCACGCTTTCATTTCGTTTCTGTCGTGGCAGTTTCGTTTTACTGGAAGCTCGTTGCACGAAATCTTCGCACGAAGTTACCGAGTTTGTTCGTCCGCTCGGGATCTACAACACGCTAGCACCTCGTCCAGTCCTTGTGGTCCTTGGGCCGGCACTCCACGGGGCACACCGTCTTGGCCACCAGCCTGGCCTCGGCGACCTTGTACGTGCCCCAGCCGCAGTACCTGCCCCCCTCACGCTGCGTCGGGAAGGGCACGGCCGGCCCATGCTCTCGAAGCCTCTTTTGGCATGTGAAGCTCGCGTGGTTTAGCACGCTGGTCTGAAATGTATTGACGATTATGTTTATCCAGATGGTTGTAATTCTGTATGCTGCTTTGTCGGTTTATGTGCGTGCACATGTTACTCACATGTACTGTACTATTTATACACACATGCATACATTGCCTGACATCCGCAAGCACAGACATATATTCACGTATCTGTAAGTGATTTGTGCGAAAGAAAAGTAGCATATTACTATCCCCTTTCTCCTATAATGAAACGAATTTATCATTAAAAAACGACGGATAGTTTTCCTGCTTCACACCAAAGTCTGAAAACAAGCCTCCGTTATCCATGCAACAAATACAAAACACAAAGACTACTGAAAGCAAGGCTAACAGCAGCTTCTCACGTCCATCCAACCAGAAGACAATCAGCTGACCCCGCCCACGAGTCCATTCATCCGGGAACAACCGAGACGAACACAAAACAATCCCGAGAAGACTTTTCCTTGCTGGAACAGGAGGAAACCCCAAGACGTACCCTCGCATATGGCCAGACGACTTCCTTGAGTAACTTCTGGTCTTGGCCATAACGCTCCGTCTTCGCCTTGCTGTACATCTGGTCACGTAGCGTCTGCATGGCACTCAGGTTCTTGTTGTGCGCTCCCCAGAAGCCTAGAATGTAAAGTGTGTATAACGAAGCATGGAGTGAATACCGTACACACGTATCTATCGCTTTGTATCTATCTATATTTATCTGTTATATCTCTGTAACTATCTCTGTTTATCTGTATATGCGTTTATCTGTGTTCATGTATACAAATATCGATATATGTACACACACACACACACACTTCTGAGTTAAGCCCTGCATCATCTCCTTTCTTCATTGCAATTATTGAAGAAGAAAATACTTTTTCTTGGTTTCTCTTTTGTTATTATTATTATCATTATTCACATTATCAGCCTTCAGATTACTCCAGGGAAACGCCAATTTCAATTTTTAGGTTAAATAGGCTAAATGGAAGTGGAACTAACTTGTTTTAAGTTTCTTGATATATGATATATATATATATATATATATATATATATATATATATATATATAGTAGATCAACCTATATATACATACATACACACACAAACACACACACACATACATACATACACACACACACACACACATATATATATATATATATATATATATATATATATATATATATATATATATATATATATATGTTTGCACATGTGACTGTGTTCATGTGTCTAATATAAAATAGAAATTAAAATCTCGAAATCAGTCCACTGG